CTTGTAAACAAACATTCACAGCAGTTTTATTTTTAATAGCCCAAATTGTAAATAACCCAAATCTCCATCAGCAAATAAATGGATCAACAAATTATGGTTTATCCATAAAATGAAACACTACTCAGCAATAAAATGGAATCAAATATTGATACATTAACCTGGCTCAATTTCAAAATAATTATGCTGAATGAAAGAAGCCAGACATAGAGTAGATGCTGCATGATTGCATTCACACCAGTATCTTGTCAATGCAAACCAATATAGTGGCAGAAAGCAGATCACTGTTCTCCAAGAGAAGGGGTGGGAAAGGAAGGGTTACAAAAGGGCATGAGAACACTTTTGTGGGTGATGTATATGTTCATTATCTTGATTGTGGCAATGATTTCTTGGGTGTTTATAGATGCCAAAATATATTAAATTGTATAATTTAAGTATATGAACGTGATTTTGTCAAGTATACCATAAAGTTGTCTTAAAAATCACAATTTAGTCCAGACCCATCCCCAAACCTGACGGGAGTGAGGTGATCTGCCCTTCACCCTACCCGCCTAACAGGAAGGGGAGAAACTTCCCTCCTGGAAGATGACATCATACATACTGTCCATGGATTTTTTTTTCTTTATTAATTTAAGATAGAGGAAGGGAGAGAGAGAGAGAAAAACAGGGATCAGCGAGAACATCAATTGGCCGCCTCCTGCATGCCCCCCACTGGGGATTGGGCCCACAACCTGGACATGTGCCGGGAATCACATGGGTGACCTCTTGGTGAATGGGTTGACACTCAACCACTGAGCCACACCGGGTAGGCCGTCCACAGATTTTGTGCTCACAGCATCTGCCGAATAAAATAGTCCTTGACATGCAAAGTGTCAAGACTGTATCATTGATAATATGAGAATAAAAAATACTAGACAACAAATGCAAGAACAGGAATCAGGGTCAACAAATACAGACTAAAATAATAACATGTTCAACAAAACAGAGGAAAAAACAGACAAAATAGATGAAAGGATCAAGATTTCCACCGGAGAAATATACTGACATGGATGTTTGAGAAGAATCTAACGGACCGTCCAGAGCTGAAGCTTTCAGTTCTGGACACGTGGTCAGCTGAGCTCATCTGAGTCCCGTTTAAAAGTAAAATTTTTAGTAATACTGGATAAAACACGACAAAAATAACCAAGAGCCAACCATCAAGGAAAGAGAAATTCCCAGGTGACAAAGACAAGCAGGAACCTAACGCCAGCATGGGAGCTTGTGGGGGAGGGGACTTAGTCTGCATAGGGAATGGATCATAAAGTCCAGTCATAAAAGAAGGCTCATACCTGATATACTCTCCTGCTGTACTAAGACGCCTGCATGAAACCTTTTGAAAGGACTGCCTTTTCCGCGAAAGGGAGACTCAAAGGACTCCACACACTGACACAGGGAAGGGGGAGAGAAGATTGGGTTTCTAGGGAAAAACCATCTAGACCCTAAGTTCATGCTTCACATGGATGTGAGATACAAAGCTATACTCCACTTAGGATACAGGAATCCCCAAGCAAAAAAAATAACATAATTCTAGATGGATCAAGTCACTAGGAGCCTAAGAATAAGCAACACCAATTTGTTCTCTAGGGAAAATTTTATAAACCAGGGCTCATGGGACAATCACAGGAAAAAAATAATACCTACAAAACAGAAGCTCACACAACTACACACACACACACACACACACACACACACACACACGACAGAAATAATTAACTGTGAGTAGAAGAAGAAAACCCAGAAATCCCAGGATGCTTAGTATTCCAGAACCTGAAATTATGACGCAATCTAAAAGAGAGCATGGATTAAGTATGGATGAATCATTTACAAAAATAAATCATAGAAAATGTAATGAAAAAAATCAGGGCATCATGAAACAAAGAACAGATCACATTAAAAAAAAAAAAAAATAGGCCCTGGCCAGTGTGGCTCAGTTGCTCAGTTGGTTGGAGTGTTGTCCTGTGCACCAAAGGGTCACGGGTTTGATTCCCAGTCAGGACACATACCCAGGTGGCAGGTTTAACGCCCCCACCCCACCCTGGCCGGGCACATACGGGAGGCAACTGATCGATGTTTCTCTCTCACATAGATGTTTCTCTCTCTGTCTCTCGCTAAAAAAAATTATCTTAAAAAGAACATTATTTTAAATGAAAAATATATATATATATAACAATTGATATATAAAATTCAATGGGTGGATTGAACAACAGACTTTAACTTTCAATATCTAGTATGTTTATTAAAATTCAGGAGTAATCTCTAAAATACTAGCTTAAAAGGAGCATAAATACAAAGACACTAAAATAGAATAGGCCAGTCACCATTCTAAGTGCTTTATATATTTTATTACTTAATGCTCACAAACTTTTTGTATAGAGGAAACTGAGTCTCAAAGAGATTAGGTATCCTGGTTAAAATTGACAGCACCCTGGCCAGTTTGCTCAGTGGTTAGAGTATTGGTCCTCGGATCAAAGAGTCTCGGGTTTGATTTCAGTCAAAGGCAAGTACCTCGGTTGTGGTTCAGTCCCCAGCCCTGGTCAAGCTCATGCAGGAGGCAACCTCTCTCACATCAATACCTCTCTCTCTTTCTCCCTCCCCCTCTCTTCCTCTCCCCCACCCTCCTTCCCTCTCTCTCACACATTCTGTCTAAAAATAAATGGAAAAATATCCTCAGGTGAGGATTTTTTAAAAATTGCACAGTTAGCAAGTGAGGGATCAAACTCAGATAGACTATTTCTAGACCCCATGCTCTTGACCATGACTGCATGATATAAGGCAGAAAAAATAGAGCAAAGTAAATTTAAAAATCACAACATAAGATGCTGAAAATAAGACATCATCAGTAATCACAATATGTTTAGATGGAATAAACTTGCAAGTTAAAAGATACATTTACAGATTTCCTTTGTTTACCTGAAACAAAACAAAATTAACATTTAAAACATAGATTGAAAGTAAAAAAGAATGACATGCAGAGGTCCAAAGTTAGAGACAGAAAAAGATACACCAGATAAATACTAACCAACAGAAGGATCATTCAAGCCTTCCCCTGGTCCATTGTTTACTTGAAACCCAGCTCAATCTGCCACTTGCTAGCTCTGTGCAAAGTCCTAAAGGCCCCGAGCCTTGGTTCTCTCGCCCACACAACAGATAGCAGGTCTCCAGATACTGTTGTTTTGTTCAACAGCATTTTGTTCTAATGTTGATGAGAAAAAATACGCATTGCTGGCCGGAGCCACTGTTTGTGAGGGATTTACATGTTCTCTCCATGTCTGCGTGAGGTTTTCTCGAGGTACTCCAGATATTTGGGAACAAATACTCTGTTTTTTCGTTTTACTTGTCCACAGGTGGAATTTTCCCCAAGATGGGTAATACCCAGGGTCTCACCCGTACCTGACTTGGATGATTAAGATGATGAGATTTGGGACTTTTGAGCTGATAAGATTTAAACTGACTATATATTGAACTTTGAGTTGATGCTACAATTGAGACTTTGGATGATGCTGGGGTGAGATCGGTGTATTTTGTATGTGGGATAGATATGAATCTTTGGGACCAAATGGAAGACTGTGGTAGGCTAATGTCCCCCCAAACATGCCCCTGTCCTACTCCCCAGAATCTGCGAATATGTGACTTACACTGCAAAAGGCACTTTACAGATGTGACTAAGGATCCTAAAATGGGAGATTATCCGGGTAATCTGATGCAATCAGTCACAGGGGTCCCTACAAGGGGGAGGCATGATGGTCAGAGGCAGAGGAGTAAAGGAGCAGAGGTCGCTGTGACGCGGGCCCTGGGCCAGGGTGAGAAGCCTACAGAAGCCTGAAACAGCAAGGAAATGGATTCCCCGCTCCTCCACCAGAAGGAACGCAGCCCTGGCGGCACCTTGACTTTAGCCCACTAGGACGGCTTTTGGATTTCTGCACCCCCAAACTCTAAGAGAATACATTCGTGTTGCTTTAAGCCCCACAGGGTGTTATCCTTTGTTCCAACAGCAATGGGACAAAAAATTCAGGATCCAACATCAACATGAAGATGTGCTGCCTGCGGGCGGCTCTGGAGTTCTCGGTCTCCGACTCGGAGCCGCGTGTCTCCTGCCAGCATCCAGCATCCGTAGACCGTGCCAGGCCGGCGGGGGGCTTGGACCGGTACAGTCTTAGACCTTCACAGTTGTTGACATTCCGTTCTCAGACATGATGGTATAGTCATGGGTGTTATTCCAATTTTTAAATAGCCTTCAGCCTTTTAATAAATCCACTTCTAATCAAATACCACTTAAATAGCTTTTCATCTTAATAAGAAATAGATCATGTTTTATATTTGGTTAAGTAAATTATGAATAATATTTATATTAGAAGTTAATAAATCAGCATTCTTCGCAACTCTTACTCTTTCCTGAAAATATTCATTAAAAATAGCAGGTATCAGAGGAGGGGGGTTGAGGGGAGGGATGAGATAAACCGAAGAACTTATTTGCATGTATACATAACTGATGGACACAGACAACAATGCTGGGGGTGGGAGGGGGCGGATAGGGAGGAGGGTGTCTGAAGGGGAAAAGGAGAAACATCTGTAACAAAAATTAATTAATACAAACTGGGGTGGGGAAGCAGTTATCTATTTGCAAGAATGTGTTATAGCAGCTTAAATTACAAAATATATTTCACTCCTTGATCTGTTAAATGTTAGATTCTCAAAGAATAATATTTTCCTCAAAAGACATTATGGGGGAGGGATTTCTTTTGGTGGAATAATTCCTAAACGTAGTGTGTTACATGACTTGGACTACTAGGATCCTAGAGAAAGAGTTAGGAGGCATTAAAAACAAGGAATAGCTTTAAGAAGGAAACAGAAAGCTGGATGTGTGAAAACAAAGAACCAGAGAAAATTCCTGTGCAATCAAATGCATTTATTTTTTAGCTTAAGCAAGGCAGGTGAACAAATCCATAATGAAAATGCCACCCAGAGATTAGCAGCTGGCCATGCAGACAACCTAGGTGTGGAAAACCAAGTCATTTCCGATACCAGTGAGCAGTTTGGCTGTGATGTACCAGGCCAACCTGACTCTCTGGCGGCGGGGTATTTACAACCCATTCACCATCTCAGCTCAAAGCCACATAATAGTCAGAGGACCACCACCTACACATCTTTCAAGTAAGTACACAGCATGGCAAATAGCACTTTCATGGTTTAGTGGCCAATGGCACGACAGTGTGACCAGACACACAGACCAACACAGGCACACATAAACGTCATCTCCCTCATGCAGCTGATGACCTCCCTTACATTTCCTGAGGACAGGCGTACCATGAGATATACCATGGACTGACACTCATTCTAGGAGAGGAGAGGCAGGACTGTCCCCAGGTTTGAGCATGTGTGGCTACAGGTCCTCAGAAGAGCTGTTTCGGCACAACCAACAAAAATAGTGTCCACAGTGACATGCGAGACGAGTGTCCTGACATCCTGGTGGACATCCAGGCCCCTGCTGAAAGCCGAGCTCAGTTAAAGGTTGGGTGGATGATACAGATATTTGGGGGTTGGGGGACAGGGTCTTACAATAAGATATAGGATCCAGTACCCTAATTTATATGGCTTTACATATACGCCAGACTTGTCTGGATGCAAGGACAGAAAGTCACAAAATATTAGAGCCGGGTTAGAGCATTTACTCCAGAGTCCTCAGCTTACAGGGAAAAAACGTGGCAGCCCAGAGAGCTGAAGCAGATTGCTAAAGGCAGAGCCTGGCCGTGGCGGGGCCAGGTAGGAACGCAGAATGATAGCCCATTCAAGAATGCTGACTCTGAGTATGTGGCCAAGCTTCCCAACAACGAGGAAACTGAGACAGGGTAAATACTTTATTCCCCAAAAAGCTCCAAATGTGTTTAAAGGCATAAAAACAGTTTAATCAGCTCTCTTCTGAGTGGGTTCTCTTCTGTCTCTTTTTTTTTTCTGTGTCTGTTTCTCTCTCTCTCTCTCTCTCTCTCATACACACACACAGTTCTGGTGAATGGAGATTTCTTGCTACACAAACATAGCCCAACTGTTCAGGAAGACATATTACAGAGCATGTTTCTCAGTCCAGGTCTTTGTATGAGGTCTGGGAAACTGGCTTGTTTTCTAGAACAACAGGTGGTCCTGAAATCAAAAGATCATCATCCCCGAAGGAGGTGTTCTGGTCTGTGTTCACAAAGTTGGGGATGTCAAATTTCATGAGCCTGTTCAGCTCCTCCTCTGGCTGCCCGCTGCTTCTGATGACTTCCTGGAGTTGAATATCACTGTCAAGGGCTGCGGTCTGGTGACAAGCTTTGGCCTTTTCCAAGTGTCCCACTTCATTGATGTAGCAGTGGAAGAGGGACCTGGACTCCTCATTGCCCTGCTGAGAAAACACCTTATCTGGCTCCAGCGGTCTTCCAAAGTCTGACAAGAAGCTGTTCATTCTGAATCTCTTCTCTGAAGACTCTGCATTGCTGTAAAGAAAGGGGAAATAAAAGGTGGCTTACACGCCTGCTCACCCTCCTGCAGAATCGTGGGTTTTGGCACGAAGGACAGGCCAGCATATTTCCATTGAGCACGTAATGAGTGCAAGTCCCTGAACAGAATGTGCAGACAAACATCAGAAATGAGAGACATCACTTCTGAACATGCATAAATAAACCCAAGACAAAAGCCCAAGATGAGGGCCCCGGACCTTCCTGGAAAGAGACATCTTGCTGAGAAATCATCTGATTCTCAGTGGGACTCTTCGATCATCTGCATGAGAATTAATTCAAGTGCTTCTTAAAATTCAGAGGCCTGATTTGCAGACCTTCAGAATCTCTGGAAGCAGGGCCAAGTAATCTGTACCGTTCATAGAATCCTCCAGGATCACTACTCATGCTCAGTTCTAGAACCACTGATCTACATCAAGCTGGCTGAACAACAATATTACCTCACAGAGGTGAGTTTCTTACTTGTCAAAGCACTGTTGTATCCATGTCTCTCATTCGATTCTCAAAACCGACTCACGCAGTCACTTAGGGCAAGAATTACTATACTAATTTCACAAACACATGAGCTAAGCAGGGAACAGTCAGATTGCCCACTTGAGTCACACAACTAGTTAGTGACAGGAGTGGGAATAGAACCCAGGTTCCTAATCCCTTGTTTCATTTAATATGAAACAAATTAGCAATTTAATGGTAGTGAATGATGAATGAATGAGTGAGTGAATTAATTAATTAATTAATTAATTAAATAACTTTCGACCGGCAGGTGTGGCTCAGTAGTTGAACATTGTTGACCCATGCACCAAGAGGTCGCCAGTTCAATTCCCAGTCAGGGCACATGCCTAGGTTGTGGGCCTGATCCCCAGTGGGGGACATGGAGGCAGCCAATCGATATTCTCTCTCATCAATGTCTCTCTCTCTCTCTCTCTGGAAAAAAATCAATAAAGAAAAGAGAATATGTTTATAAAAATCTCTCAATCAGTCCTACAATTACATAAAAGAAAGAGTATGGGTAAGCTGAATACCCTGATATCCCATGGACTTTAACCCCTTCTTTCCAGATGTATACAAAGGTTGCTCACACACAAGTGACTCCTTAAGGGCAGAATCATGTCTGAACACGTTTTCAAATCCAGACAGAACCTAATAAAAACTAGGCTGTGTTCAATGAGTGCATAACCTTCTCAATTTCAGTTAACTGTTTTCCTCCCCATCCCATCACTCAGGATGAAGTGCTGAGGACCAAATTCCCATGGGGTGAGAGGAGCATAGATTCAAGATACAGGTCTGGAAAACTGGATCATATGTATGAACCTTCAAATTACCAAGAACCACCTGGATTTCAGAGATCAGAAATTCTTGAAGCTTTGTGATCCAGCCAGTTGAAGAACTTTTCTACCATATCTATCTCCTATCATGATTGGGTGACATCAGACAAGGAATTTCTCTCAGAAGCCCAAGTTTTTCCTTTTAGTAAACAGCCTGGTTAACAAATCTCACTGCCCACTGAGAAAATTTGAAGTTAAGGCCATTGATTTACACAAGAGTAAATCCTTAAACATTCAGTAGGTCTTGTATTCAGAATTCAAAGAAAAATCACTTTGGAGAGGCTCTGAATGACTTCTGCTCTAATGCAAATTTAAGTGGTCTGTCTTTCAGCAGGTGATTTTCTTTCTCTAATTGTCACTTCACTCAGTTTGAAAAGATGTTTGAATGTGCCATAAACCTGTGACCTAATAAACTAAAACACTACCTGGCGAAAAGAAGGGCTCAACCTGTTTGAAAAGGCATGATTAACATTGCTGCGGCCCATGCCGTCTGCCAGTTGCAGGGCTAAGGACCTCTGGGGAATAGCTTTCCTGCCTGCCCTGAGCATCAGCCCAGCAGGACCGCGGACCAGAAACCCAGCTCTTCCATAGTACAGGCTACATGGAGTCCATTCACCGCCGCTGCTGAAGAACAGAAGCACAGGAGTCCGAAAGAGTTGTGTCCCTCCCCAGGGTAGAGCCAAGGCCTCCGAGGTGCCTTCCCTGCCCCACGTGCACCCCCCCCGCCCCCAGCTTTTTCCGGAAGATCTCTTGGTGTGAGAACAGTGCAATTTGTCTGATCCTCCTTCTCTGAGAATAAGGAAAAAGTTCATCGTTGTACTCTTGGACTCTGGTAAACATTAAATATTCAATAGGCTGTTCTTTTATTCCTCTTTTCTTTCCTTGACTGATAAACCAAAGGACTTATATGTGAAAACCTGTGATCATGGACACAACTTGCTTCAATGTAGTTTCTATTCATCCTACCACTGGGTAAAATTTACATACAGAAATCCATAGATCTGAAGTATAAAATTCAATGCATTTTTATTAGTTTATACATCCATGTGTAACCACTGTCCTCAATCATGATATAGAGTGTTTCCTTTATCCTAGAGAATTTCCTTTCATTCATTTTCCACCCGCTTTGGGTCACACTACTCTGATCTCCATTTCCATTGATTAGCTTTGCCTGTTCTTGCACTCCAGGGCATTTCCACTTCCTATAGGCCATCTGCTTTAAGTATTCTCACCACAGATAACTTAGTCTGTTCTTGAAATTAATACAAACAGAATCACACAATACAGAGCTTCTTGTGACTGCATTCCTTTGCTTAGTATGTTTTTGACATGCATCTGCATGGATGCATGTAATAATCACTTGCTCAGTAAAATTTCACTGTACAAATACACTACAATTTGTTTATTAATTCTCTTGTTAAAGGGTATTTGGGTTGTTTCCAATCTAGGGCTATTGTGAGTAAAACTGCAATGAACATTCTTGAGAAGTCTCTTTGTAGACACATGTTTTTATTACTCTTGAGTACATGCTTAAGAGTAGAATTACTGGGTCATATAGTAGATGTGCCTTTAACTTCATGAGAAATGGCGAAGTCTCTCAATTGGTCGTGCTGTTTTACGCGGTCACCAGTGTATGAGAATTAGAGTTGTTCCACATTCTTGTCAACATTTGGTGTTGTCAGTCGTTTTAATGTTAGCCATTCTCATGGGAGTGAAATGGCATCTCCCTGTGGTTTTAGTGTGCATTTTTCTGATACCTAATAACATCAAGCATCTCTTCATGTCTTTATTGGCTATAACTTAACTACTTTTATGAAGTGTCTATGTGTGTCCTTTGCCCAGTTTAAAAATTGGGTTGTCTTGCCTGGCCAGTAGTTGAGCGTTGACCCATGCACCAAGAGGTCGCCGGTTTGATTCCCAGTCAGGGCACATTCCCAGGTTGTGGGCCTGATCCCCAATGGGAAGCATGCAGGAGGCAGCCAATTGGTGTTCTCTCTCATTGATGTTTCTAGCTTTCTCTCCTTCTCCCTTCCTCTCTCTCTCTAAAATCAAAAAAGAAAAAAAAATGTTTTTAAATATAAAACAGGTTATGAGTTCTTGAGGATAAGTTTGTGTGTTTCTTGTCTATGTCCCCAGTACCTGGCACAATACTAGGGATATAGTAGATGCTCAACAAATATTTGTTAAATGAACAAATGAATGCACCTGTCATGAAAAGATCTTGAAACTAAAGCAACTCTTGCTTTGGCAGGAGGCCTCTTCAATAGTCCCAAAGGATCATAAATCAATTCTGCCACAGCCTATACCTTTAGTAGACCACCTTTCTAAATAAAGATATCATAAGTGGGGGCTCCAGAGCCAGAGTTACGGGAGGTCCAACAAACTAGTCATATCCAGGTCTGATCAACATTATTTTTGGCCAAGGGAAACACCCTGTCTCTGACTGTTCCCCATTTCTCCAAGCTCTGTTTCAGTGTCTTCCATGGGGCCTTCTCCCATGTGTCCTTGGAGGTCACAGGCTATAGAGCTACTAAAACAGCACCTTGCACCTTTCACAGCTGGCTAGCCTTGGAGGCTACAGAGTCTCAGGTTGCATGGGGACATTTATTGGTAAGGGTGGCTATAAAGAAGGCCATGAAAACACCACCCATCCATGATTACCCAGCCTTTAAAGCAGCCTTGCCCGCATGAGTCAGTCACACCTGAAAATATTCTTATATATTTATTGCAATGAAGAGCAAGGAAGTTTCACTACTTAGGCAGGGGGTAGTTTGCAGCTGGGCTGTCTTAATTCAGTTGTCAGGATGAAACACCTGTCACATTGTTAAGGCTGTCTTTCCAGCCTTCTAAATCGCGTGCCCATGGACAGCCTGGGTACTGCTCTATAGGACGGGTGCCCCGTGACAGAGAAGAGGGCTAGTTGTGACCTTGTCACCCCCTCAAAGTTGGCATATGGGAAAATAATGTGCACTGGCACCTATTAGAGATGTTAAAGAAGTTTAACATCAACTTGTTCTTCCACTGCTTTGGTTACCATACCTGTGAAAATTGAAAATTACAAGCGACACACATCTTAAATTCTACCATGATTAAAACTATGGTTAAAACCAGAAGCCACAAGCTTCAACAACTGCAACATTGAAAAATGAGAAACTCTGAAATGTTGACTGAGCTAACAATTAATATCCATGTTCTACATGTCATAAAGAATAACAGAATACTGAGTAATATTTGTGCTATAAACTGAATGTCTGTGTCCTTCCAAAATTCATATGTTGAAACCTAATTCTCCAAATGTTGGTATCAGGAAGTGGGACCTTTGGGGGGTGATTCAATCATGATGGTGGAGCCTCCACGAATGGGATGAGTGTCCTTATAAAACAGGCCCTAGGGAGCGCTCTCACTTCTTTCTCCATGACTGCCAGCTATGAACCAGGAAAGGGGTTCTCACCAGACATCAAATCTCCTAGCACCTTGATCTTAGACTTCTCCGCCTTCCAACTGTGAGAAATAAATTTATCTTACTTATAAGCCACCTGGACTGTGGTATTGTTATACCAGTCTAAACAGATAAGACGACAATTTTTCAGAAGATTTAGAATCACCAATGCTTTTAGTTATTTTTGTCATAGTCCTACCTATTCTATATCTTGT